CCATTCAACAAACCACAATCACAATCACAATGTATATTCTCACAATCATACAACAAGAGGTGATTAATGACATACAATTATTCAATTATCTTCATTTACAACAAGTGTGATCAATAATGAAACATTCGCATACATACATGTATCATAATGAAGCAAGAAAAAACATACATCACACAATCATAGAATCACAACCATCACCTACCTCGAAACAAGCTTGAAATCCTAAGAAACTTGATCCTTCCTTTTTCGGATTCGTTCCGCTTGTTCTTGGTCTACAAACAATCAAAATAACATGGGAATCAACAAATAATTGCTAATTACCCGAAACTATAACAATTCTATGAACCCTAGATCAAGCCCATGATCCCAAACATGCAAACTAAGGTTGTTTTCACCATAGAATCTATAACAAAACCTTCACCCCTCAATATTCACCCATTCTATTACGTTCTACGGATCGAGAAAGGGATTTGGGGAGTGAAAAACTTACATTTAGCCTCAAGAATGGTGAAAAACGAGTAGAAATCGCCTGGGGTCATTCCTTAGCTCTAAAAGTCAAAAAGTGTCAAATAAGGTCGTTTAGGGGTTTATTAACAACATTAAGTCGGTCTGGCCCACCACAACGGCCCTCATCCTACTGTAACGGCGGTGCCAGAGCGACATCAAGTCCCGCCAAAGCGGCATTTTCGAACCAGTGAGTTATCCATCCTTTTCTACGATTATAAGTCCCGTCGTACCCGCCACAATGCCCCATGTCCCATTGTAGCAGCTCCGCTAGAACGGTCAGACTCTCGCCAAAGCGGCACAAACGAAACTAGAGAGTCAACTGAAGAAATTCCAAAATTTCTTTTCACTACACATCTCTAACCCACGACGATCAGAAAATACCCCTCACGCTAAGATCAATTTCGGGAGTTCTATTCGCCAAAATTCAATTTCGTAAGTCGTACGAATTCCTGAACAAGTTATCTAACCACTCATGCAATCAAAACTATAATTACTCCACCCGATTGTTACCAGATTTCCCCCACACCTCAGGGACTCTGATTTCGTCCAAATTTGGACAAGGTTGGAAAAATTCAAGTACTACAAAAAAAAAAAAAAAATCGGCCCCAATTTTTCCCCCGTTGGCATTTCTATAACGATGGAACCCGATCGTTACACTTTGTTGCTATACATGAGATACAAATGCATTTTTTTTGTTAAGTTTATTCTGCTAGAAATAGAGAATTAGATTATAACTTGAATAGACACACAATTGTTCGATAGAAAATTGCAAGTTTAACCTTGTGAAACAAATCCGACTTCTCAATACAAATAGTTAAACATTAATATAATTATTGATAGTCAAATTACAATAACACCACCTAAACTCTTGAATTATAATGACAATTAACTAAGGATAGAGATAAGAATAGAGATGAGAAATTTAGACTCTAAAAAGAAGATGAGAGGAACATATATACAGTTTCTTCACAATAGCATAACTCTTCTATCTAACCCTTGGTTAAAGGGAACTTACATAAATCCCACTAGTTTAAGAGCTAATTACTTAGATATACTCTATTTTGTAATATTACGTATCTTATCAAATTTTAGTGCCTCAAATATGTCCAGATACGTATCTCGGATAAATTAGGTCAAACATAGGTGTAATTTATTTTAGATACATTGTATCCAAGTGGATTCTCATGTATATATGATACATAGCAAATCTCGCGCGCCACCCTTCACTCTTTCCCATCTCGCTGGCCACTCTCCCATATATCTAGCATCCCAGATACATGTGAATCACTACTCCAGATACATACAAATACATGTATCTAGTGTGATTTGTATGTATCTGGATACATACGAATCTCGCTCACCTCTCTCCCTATTTCTATGTATCTGATAGCAAAAATACATTTATCTAAGTGTAAGATACATAGGAAACTATTAATTAGTGGAAAGATACGTAATATTTTGAAAATATAGGTAATAATAATATATATGGTACTAGTAGTGAAGTATGTCTAATTATGTAATTTTCACCCTATTTAACCATAATTAAGCTTGGATCCTAAATAAAACCCTCTAATATTTTATTCGGTCCAATATCTAAATCAGCCCCGATTACTACTTTTAACACATAGATAGATCCGTACAAAGTCGACTTTGGTTCACAACACCTTTTTGAATTCGAAAAAAACATATGTAAAATGAATCAACATGTCATTTAATCTTATGATATTTAATATTTCATGTGGAAAGTAAGAATTGATAAATTGTTACCATGGAGAAAAAGTTAATTTATTAATACATCATAAAAGTAATAAAGGATAAATATGTAAAAATATTTGAACTATTTGATATTTTATGAAATAAAAATAATCATAAATTGAATTTTTTGCACAACACGCGGGTACATGTACTAGTTAGTTTAATCGGAAAGACTCAACAGGATTAACATAAATTCCATGACCCTGGAATATTCCCATCTCATTATTTCAATTTCTTAATTATTCGTTTATTGTACTTGAGTTCACAAATTACTTGCTTATGATTGATTTATCACAATTAGTAAACAAAATATTCACAATATTAGAAAATCGCTTGAATAATAAGTTCATTTTAGTTGAAGTAAGTTAATAGATAACCTTATGGGCACTACATTCTAAATCTTATCACTTTATTACTTGTGCAACTGCGTGTACTTGTGTGTGTTTTGTCCTGCATATATCTTGGAGAAAAATAAAAGTAAATCTCAACATGTTTTATGTAAGAATAAAAGACGGAATTGATAGGTAATTATGCAACACTAAGATTTTCACATAAGATGGGATCGGAGTTGACCAAATGAGACCAAAAGCTCAACCACCAACAACAATTTATATTACTCACTAATGTCAATTACTATACCATAAGATATTACCTATCAGGAGCGGAACTAAGTGAAGGTTCAGACAAATTCAATAGCTTTTTAGGAATTTTTACGTGGTTAATTATTGGTTCTGGATTTGAAGTTGCTAGCGCCTTGCTATTTTAGTTAACTAAGCATACCTAATTAAGGTAGATCGTGCACGTTACACCCTTACGCGGAATGCTAAGGCTGCACTTCACATGCCTATTTGACTTCTTAGTCAAACTTATCCAACCATTATAAAAGTGTAAATTCAAGGGCGTAGGGTGAGTATGAGTTACGAGTTCAGACAAATTAATAATTTTTATTTTGTTCCTATATTTTATTATTAGAAAAATCATTAAATGTATAACGACTCACTATATTAAAATTGACTTTTATCAGTAATTAATATAAATGTTCATAAAGTCTACATTGACATTAAATTTAATGACAAAATTAACTAATGTCGATAAAGTCTTTAATATTCTTTGTTAATGTACATATTTATTACCGCTATTATAACGACTATTAATTCAATGATAAATTTAAAATTTATAAGTACTAATTCTAGCTCCGCTTCTAAAATGTGGTTGAATTTCCTCTGCCATCTGTCGATTTGTTTTGTTGTTCGTACAAAAAGACATATTTTTGGGGTTTCCTATTTCCCTTTGCGTTTTATGTAGAAATTGTGAAGCCATCAATTAACAGTTGTCTCCTCTAAAGGCTGGCATACAACAAATTGCTTTTTCAACAAAAAGGATCCAAAACCTAAATCAACGTATTCCCTTTGATTATCCACTATAAAAAAATAAAAAAATAAAAAGGAAACAACAATATTTTAGTATATTTTTATAAGAAAAATCACAATTATTATACTTTCATACTGGATGACCATAATTATTATATGTATGGTATTACAAGCCATTGAATCCAAGATTCTTTGATATCGTAATCTTTTATTATCCATAACTTATTATAAGTGCATCACCACTACTGAAACACTATGATCGAGCATTGATATTTACTGCATTCAGCTTTGCCATAAAGATCTTTTAGTCATCTTTTTCCATAATGTCATGATCCAAAATTCAGAATCGCAATGATAAATATAGATCTCACACTAATCGGTAAGTCAATCCTTTGCTAATTCATTATGTAAGTAGAAAATGCAAAATTTTAAATATAAACCTTAATAAGTCAAGCAAGTTTTGACTTATTATTTTTTAATGAAAATTAAATATTATAAAATTAGTTGCTACAAAGTTAAAGTTACTTGTCACAAACATTTGACTCGAACAATAAGCATAAATTTCTTACTTTATGTTGCATTAATTTGTCAAAATTTAGAACTTTTATTTTCTATTTGTTTATTTAATCATATTTGTAATTATTTTAAACTATTGATTTATTTTTATAATTTTGTGTTATTATATTATTATACTATAATATAAAATTACAAATTTAAAAATCCATAGGGCTTATGCCCCACGTCTCGAGGCTTATGCCTCGCCCTATACTAAGTAAAACGCCTCGTCTCACTCCCCCGCCTTTTAAAACACTGATATTTACTCTTAGCAACTCTTAGGTTACAATTTTTCACATGGCAGGTTTAAGATCATAATTTATTCTTAGCAATTCTTTAATTACAATTTTTCGCGTGGCATGTTCAAGATTATAGGATTAAAAGACATTTTTGATACATTCTACCTATCTAGTTTAAAGCCACAAAATTCGAAAATCTTGTTTACTTTCTTAAACTAGACGAACAAATTGAAACGGAGAGAGTACTGTTATACATGGGAGGGAAGGGAATCCTTCTTCATTTGCAACTGTATCAGTGGTTGGTGTGTGTGTACTTTTTCATGTGCAAGTGTATTTCCGTGATGGGAATAGAGAAAAATTTAGTCTAACGTTGTTGAAGTGTTTTGTGTATACTGTTATGAGAGCTCTTATTTTCAAAGTGTAGCTTGCAAAGTTCAATTCAATCTGCTTAGGATGCTATATCCTAACGCGATGGTAAGATACCTGATGACGGGGAACGAAATTGTATTGACAATAGGACAAGTAAAACAGAGAGTATTGAGTTATTCTGCTCTCTGAATTGCAGGGTACACTGAACAGATCAAAGAGCCTAGGCAATATTTCACTGGAAGGTATTAACCCTCGTTCGTGTTATTCTTGATATGTACTTATATCTGTTTTGTTCAAGTAGCTAATCGTTGAAATACAGATTGGGGAATGTTGAGTATGTTGTATGTCGAGATGATGGTGGAAAAATACATGCTTTTCACAATGTTTGTCGCCATCATGCCTCTCTTCTTGCCTCAGGAAGTGGGAAAAGCTCTTGCTTTGTTTGTCCATACCATGTGAGCTTTTTATTACTCAGTATTAGAGTTTTCTTGATCCTTTTAGCTGATTTCAGTTTTCCTCGTCTCAGTAGTAAATGTGATTTCACCATCAGTTAATTTCTCAAATGGTCACTCAACTAAGGGTAGTTCACTCAGTAAATGTGAGTCAACTACCAGATATTGGCTGTAAATCTAAACTCGTTTTACTTCAATAGTCAGCATGTAATGACATTTACTAGAGGAAAACGAGTTTAGATTTACAGCCAATATTGTTTTGCTTGCACACATTTTGGGTACTGTTATGACCCAGCATATATAAGTTTATTTACCATTTAATATAGCAAGTTAAAAATAAGAGTTTCAACTTTGCATTATTCCTTATTAGTCATGTGTCAAGCTTGCTAATTATTAGAGTATATGAGTTTGTATTGTTGTCTTGTGATATAAATTAAAAGAAAATTTAAGATGTATTTTATTTTAAATTTGATGTCGTCAAATGTATGAGTTGAGTGAAGAAGATATCATACCCAATGTAATCCCACAAATGGGATCTAGGGATGGTGGTGTGTATGCCCCTTTATACCTTGTGAAGGTAGAAGGGTTGTTTCCGATATACCCTCGGCTCAAGTAAAGCATCAAGTATTGAAAGAAAATAGAGTAATGAAGAAGCCATGCTAAAACAAAGTAGAAGAGAAGAGTAGCAACAACACGTTGAAGACTCAAATTCTCCTTAGTTTCTTCCTCCTTTAGTTTGTGATGAGTGCTTATTGTGACTTAGTATTAGGCCCCGTACGGATATCATTCTCATGTAACTTATTTGGTTGTTATAGCATGCAATAGTATAATTTTAGACATAGAGGAGGAAGTACTATCTGATATACTTCATTTACTGGTTCTCAGGGGTGGACATATGGATTGGATGGAGCACTTCTAAAGGCAACAGGAATCAACAACTTCAAAGTGAATGTATGTAATAAATATATGTTATATTCTCACTAGCTTCATGGTCGTATTCTCTTTGATTATCCACTATAGAAAGAAAATAAATTAAAAGGAAACAACAATATTTTAGTATATTTTTATAAGAAAAATCATAATTATTATATTTTTCATACTGGATGTCCATAATTATTATATGCCATTACAAGCCATTGAATTCAAGATTCTTTGACATTGTAGTCTTATATTATCCATAACTTATTATAAGTGCATCACCACTTCCACTCAAAGCATTTCTCTCAACACTAAAACACTATGATCGAGCATTGGTATTTACTACATTCAGCTTTGCCATAAAGATCTTATAATCATCATTTTCCATAATGTCATGATCCAAAATTCAGAATCGTAATGGTAAATATAGATCTCACACTAATCGGTAAGTTTTTTTTAATTCATTATGTAAGTAGAAAATGCAAAATTTTAAATATAAACCTTAATAATTAAGTCAAGCAAGTTTTGACTTATTATTTTTTAATGAAAATTAAATATTATAAAATTACTTGCTACAAAGTTAAAGTTACTTGTCACAAACATTTGACTCGAACAATAAGCATAAATTTTTTCCTTTGTGTTGCATTAATGTGTCAAAATGTTTCATATTATATACTCTCTATTATATAATGATAGTTGCTAGAACATTATATTTCCTAATTATATAAAATTTGAAGATTTCTTATAAGAATAAATTAAATGACATAATATATCATTTATTATTTTGCAAATAAATCTGTCAACTCAACTTTACTGGTGATCATATTGTAAGGGAGGTCCTGAAAAAAAAAAAACAGTTCAACATCCAGATTCCAGATGATAAGTTTTTTAGCAATTCTCATTTTATTATTTTTCCAGTGTGGGAAAAAATTGAAAAATAAAACTGTCATTTCATTATGGCATCCCATCTCTCCTATTCACATCTCGAAAAACGCTTTCACATATTTCAAACTCAAAATGATTCGAAATGTTTTCAAAATAATATTTTTATTAGAATATAAAAGTTATCATTCAATTCATTCATACGATTTTATCTTAATCGATCACTCGTACCAATTTATGGGACACGCTTCATTTTTTGAGAGTCAAACAGTTAAAGTTCGATCGAAATTTTGTTCATGAAATCTTCAAATTTTTTTAAAATGAAATTTATATATTTGTAAACTACGTAAAAAATATTATAAGGGCCCGTTTGGCCATGCGATATGGTATCATGATATGGAATCATGAGATGAAATTGAAGGTTTGTTTGGACATGCGATATGGAATTTTTGTGTTGTATATTTTCTCATAAACATAAAAATCTCATAAGTTGTAAAACTATTAAAATAGCCCCAATTGTTTATTCAATCTTATCAAATAAACAAAAATTATAAAATCGCATAATAAATTATTACAAAGTTATTTGTTCTTCAGTTAAATAATTGTTTCATCTAACTTTAATTTAATTAAAAAAATTGAACATAAATTGTACTTGATATGTTCATATCTCTCAACTACTCTTACAAATAACCTATAAAGTTAAAAAAAAAACATACATTAGTGAGTAAATATTAACTTAGAAGTTAAATGCACTAAGATAAAAATTAACAAACATCACTAACTTCTAACTATTTACAAGAAAAATCAATAGTTAAATATTATTGAATAACGAAATTTTAAAAAGTTACCACAAGTTTGAGTCAAAAACACTTCTAATAAAATTTAATCAAAAAAATTATAACTAGTCCACTTGACTAAATATTAACAACTAATTGATCAAATTTTCCCAAGTCCTCAATCAATTGGACTTGATATCCTTCAGTCATGTGAACGAACATTTTGCAAATACTAAGATTAAGAAAGTGCGGCACCGCCAATGAAAATTGTCTTTTATCAATATTATGCTTAGTCATAAGATTAAGACGTTTTTTTTTATTATGAAAAATCAAAAAAAGTATTACTCCCTTCGTTCTCATTTATATTCACCAAATGAATTTCTACTTTATCATTTATATTCACCAAATTTAAAGTGATAATAAATTTTATATTGGTGAGAATAATAAATTTTAAAAAGTAATGATGTGATTATAAATTCTATTTACATATGAAACAAATGGTTAGTAGATATAAATGTGGGGTTGTTTTAACAAAATATAAACTCATAGATCAATTATTGTATTAAAATATCTCAAATCATGATATGGAATCACATGGTGATTCCATATCATGGTTTTTGGAGAATATGGTATCACCTCTCATGATTCCATATCATGAGATGGAATCAGCGTAAAATCGCATGTCCAAATGATGATTCCATCTCACGACACCATATCGTGATATGGTATCGCATGGCCAAACGCCTACTAAGTTACAATAATTGATAATTCAAAAATTTACTATCAATGATAAACTTATTTAATTCTCAAAATTCAAAATGTGTCAGAGACAAAGAAACGGGTGAACTATAAAATAAACTCATCTTCCTAAATTAGTTACTCCTCTTTTACCCAAAACATTATTAAAAAAAAAAGGCAAATGTAGTGACAACATTTTTCATTCATTTGTATTTTGTACCATGGCAATGCTGCAGAACTTCAGTTCCCTCCATCAATCCATAAAAATAACTCCATTTAAGATTCACATGATTTTCACTTGTTCTGTAAAACCCCGAAAGCATTATCATTCACTTCAAGTCTCATCTAAATATACTCAAAAATTGGTTTTAGAATTTGATCCCAAAATCCCTATTGAAGAAGCCACCACCCCACCAAGTTCTTGGTACACTGATTCTTGTTTTTACACTTATGAACTCAATCAAGTCTTCTTCAAAGGCTGGCAATCTGTTGGTATAACATCATTTTTGAATTTTTACTTTAGATAGTATTCTCTTGATTTTCCTGAATCTGTGTTTTTTTTTTCTCTATAGTATGCTTCAGTTTTTGAACTGTAATTGTTGGATTTATTAGTAGACTGCAGCGAGCGCGCATTGCCTGCCGTGTTATTGTAGTTTTTGCTTTTGATATCTATTATAGGCTATTGTTGATTGTGTTTCGAATATGCACTATTTTGTTGCTATGTTTCTTCTTCTTTGTACTTGGATTTGCTGCTCTTGAGCAAATGGTCTTTTGTCAATGAGGTAGTGGTAAGCAAGGGCGGAGCTACGTTGTTCTCAGGGAATAACACCAGTTATTGCGCCTCAATCTTGTCAAGTTTTTCCTTTTTGATATTAAATTTTTTGTCTTTAATATCAATATGGCTAAAGCTTGGATGTTTAGAGCCTTGCTTCTCCATTTGCAACTGTATCAGTAGTTGGCATAGCTATTGGTATTGTAGTCTTGGAATGTAGCTCTTACATATGTTTCTCTGTTTTCATGTGTAAGTGAGTAGAGAAAAAATACTGTTATGAGAGCTCTTTCAATGCACAACATGCTTAATATGAAGTATTTCCAAAGTGTAGCTTGCAAAGTTCAAATGCAATCTGCTTAATATGCTATATCCGAAAGGCGTTGGTTAAAAACCTGATCACATGGAACAAAATTGTATTGACAGCAGGACAAGTAAAAAGAGAGTGTTGAGTTATTCTGCTCTCTGAATTGTGAATTTTCTGCAATTTCAGGGTACACTGAACAGATCAAAGAGCCTAGGCAATATTTCACTGGAAGGTGCTAACTCTCGTTCGTGTTATTCTTGAGGTGAACTTATATGCCTTATCTGTTTTGTTCAAGTAGCTAATCGTTGAAATACAGATTGGGCAATGTCGAGTATGTTGTATGTCGAGATGATGGTGGAAAAATACATGCTTTTCACAATGTTTGTCGCCATCGTGCCTCTCCTCTTGCTTCAGCAAGTGGGAAAAACTCTTGCTTTGTTTGTCCATACCATGTGAGTTTTTTCATTGCATGCTCAGATAGAGCTTTCTTGATCCTTTTAGCCTATCCTTTATGTACTTAGTTATTAGCCTCGTACACGAGGATATCATTCTCTTGATATAGAGGAGGAAGTACCATCCAATATACTTCATTTAATGGTTCATCCTATCGCAGGGGTGGACATATGAATTGGATGGAGCACTTCAAAAGGCAACTCGAATAGCAGGAATCAAGAACTTCAGAGTGAATGTATTATAAATATATGTTATATAACCACATTCTTCGTTCGATATGTAAAATGGTTTGATCTTCTATAGTTTTCATATAGGAGATGGGACTAGTCCCAGTGAGAGTAGCTGTATGGGGACCATTCATACTTCTCAACTTCGAAAATGGAGTTTTACCCGAAGAAGAAGCTGATATTGACTTGGTTGGAAATGAATGGCTGGGTAATTCATCCCAAATCTTGACTGATGGTGGAGTGGATTCTTCATTGAGTTTTTTATGCAGACGTGAATACACCGTTGAGTGTAACTGGAAGGTTAGTTCTCACATTATGGTTATAAATCAGTTCTTTTCTAATCTTTGGCTTTAGAAACATACTTTTATGCTTTGTCATCTTGTTAGCTATTCATTTTAGTGTAAACTCTGCTCGAGAAAAGCATTTTACGTCTCCTTACTTACTATCTGATCAATTACTCAGAATGATGATATGCTCTTGATCCTAGAATCAAGTTAAATTTTCAAACTTGAGTCAATTCAAAGTTTCAGACCAGTCTGTTCTATTGCAGGTCTACTGTGACAACTACTTGGATGGTGGTTATCATGTACCGTATGTTCATAAAAGTTATGCTTCGGTTCTGAAACTTGACTCGTACTCCACCACTGTATGCCCAAAACCATCTTCGTCATTCTTATTTCTTCATCCGCATTTTATGCTTGTTTTCTATTTACTCAAGAACATGGTTAACATTTACTCCTAATAACGAATCAGATACATGAGAAAGTCAGCATCCAACGATGTGATGCAGAAAAGGACCAAGAATTTGATCGACTTGGATCAAAACCAGCGTTATATGCATTCGTGTATCCCAACTCCATGATAAGTAGGTATGGTCCTTGGATGGACACGAATCTTGTACTGCCTCAAGGACCTCGGAAATGTCTAGTGATATTTGACTACTTTCTTGATTCATCTCACAAGGTACACACACAATATGTTTTCTTACTCAAAGATATATAAATGTATTACTTCAATCAATTTCATCTCCTTTGTCCACAGGGTGATGAGAGTTTTATCGCCCAGAGTCTCGAGGATAGTGAGACAGTGCAGGTACAGTATCAAGTTTTGTCATTGACACATGATTTATCGCGTATATGTAATCTGTATGTATTTAGACGCGCAACGCTCATTGCACTTTACAGATTGAGGATATGAAGTTATGTGAAGCTATTCAAAGAGGCCTTGAATCACCTGCATACTGCTCTGGCCGCTATGTGCCACAAGTTGAGAAGGCTGTGCATCATTTTCACAGCCTTCTATATGAAAGTCTTTCTAATTGATCTACTTCTTTGTGCAAATATTGCATTGATAAGATACTATCCGAAAATTATTATATTCACATCATCGAGATGATTCATGTGTTTGGGAGTACGACAATCACGTGTACAGTGTTCTTCTCATCCCCGAAAAGAGAATTTCGATCCTGACCATAATCATGATCACGATCACAACCTTTTTCAATGTGGTGGAAAAAAAAAAACAAGAATAATAGTATAATTTAGCATCAAAAAAATAAATAAAAGAAAAGAAGAAAACATAGTTTCACTTAATAAGAGGAGAAAATTACTTGTTGTCACCACTATAACTAGATCTTAATAGGGGATTGGTAGATTAAAGTTACTAATTGGGCTATTGCTGTGTCCAATTTTCCCCTTTGTTTTTTGGGCAAACTAAGATTAAGAAAATCAAAACTATTTTCCTGTGGATATATTGTAATTTAATTTTTTATCTCTAAAAAGAAATTAGAATATCTATAATAAAGTTTATAAGAAAATAAGTGAAAAGAATAAATTTAACCATCAAAATAATAAATTCAAATTAGACGTTGAATTAAAAAAATTTTAAAAAAAAACATGTGAGAAGGATAAAATATATCCCTACATAAATTGTCTTTTTTTAATAATAAAAATTAGTTTTTTCATTTTTTTTTCACTTACGTTAAAGGAAAATAATAAATGTGAGTCATTTATATAATCAATAAGAGTATATATTAGTCATTTTCAGAACGTGAATTTATATTAGCTCTGATAAAGTTGAGGAATATATATCAGACCCCTTTTCCCCTATTTTAGTAATATTATTTTCTCATATTTAAGTCTCAATCAGTAGCTAAATTCAAGATCATGTTATTATTGTTTGGCCTGCAAAATACAGAAATAATTTGAGTCTAAAACATATCCAAAAACATGGTAGTGCTACAGAGATTCACTTCTTTTCATCAGTTCAACAAACACAAATTATCTTCTATTCAATTTTTTACTTGTTCTGTAAAACCCAGAAAACATCATCTTCCATTTAAAATTTCATGTGATTATAATCAAAAATTGGTTTTAGAATTTGATCCCAAAATCCCAATTGAAGAAGCCATCACCCCACCTAGTTCTTGGTATACTGACTCTTGTTTTTACACTCATGAACTCAATCAAGTCTTCTTCAAAGGTTGGCAAGCTGTTGGTATGACATCTTTTCTTATCTTATTGAGATCTCCCCGTCTATTTTTACGTGTCCACTATACTATTGAATTGTCCAACCAGTTTATAAAATCAATGAATAATTTAATATGTTATGTCTATTTTACCCTTGTTGTTTAGATGACTTATATTTAACATGGATGATTTGGTAAAATTACCCCCTTCTTAATTCTTGTGTCGAGTCAATAGTGGACAACTATTGTTAGACAGAGGGGAGTATATATGCTTCTTTATCATCCTTGAAATTTTTGTTTAAAGATTGATAGTTTATATAGTATTTATTCTTACTTTCTCTGAATTTCTGTTTAAAGATTGATACTTTGGATAGTATTTTGTTATTGCTTTGTCTTAATTTTTTGTTTGAAGATTGATACCTTGGATAGTATTTACTCTTAGCAACTCTTTTTAAGATCATAATTTATTCTTAGCAACTCTTTAATTACAATTTTTCGCGTGGCATGTTCAAGATTATAGGATTAAAAGACATTTTTTATACATTCTACCTATCTAGTTTAAGGCAACAACATTCCAAAGTCTTGTTTATTTTTTAAATAAACTAGACAAACAAATTGAAACGGAGAGAGTACTATTATACATGGGAGGGAAGGGAATCCTTCTTCATTTGCAACTGTATCAGTGGTTGGTGTGTGTGTTCTTTCTCTGTGTGTGTGTACTTTTTCATGTGCAAGTGTATTTCCGTGATGGGAATAGAGAAAAATTTAGTCTAACGTTGTTGAAGTGTTTTGTGTATACTGTTATGAGAGCTCTTTTTAGGCATATTTTCAAAGTGTAGCTTGCAAAGTTCAATTCAATGCGAGTGCAATCTGCTTAGGATGCTATATCCTAACGCGATGTAGGGGCGTATACAGGAGGGGGTCACCGGGTTCACGTGAACCCATGGTCCCCTCCCGAAATCATATATAGTAGTGTTATATTTTTAAAAAATATTTAAATACAGATGCGTGAACCAAGACTTGAAGTATCATATAATGTAGTACGATGATGATTGGGTGCACCTCTCTAGGTGAGGTTAGAAATTTGAATCTTTTATCTATCTTGTTTTAGTTTTCTTTCTAAGATTTTGTAACTGGTTTGGATAAATAAAAGTTAATTTTGGACCTATGATTTTAAAATTTTAATGTTTTTCAATAAAAAAATCTAACCGGTCAAATTTATGTCTTAGATCCACCTTTTTGTAATAGTGCACCCATTATCTATAAATCCTGAATACGCCTCTGACGCGATGGTAAGATACCTGATCACGGGGAACGAAATTGTGGTAATTGTATTGACAATAGGACAAGTAAAAAGAGAGTAGTGAGTTATTCTTCTCTCTGAATTGTGACTTTTCTGCAATTTCAGGGTACACTGAACAGATCAAAGAGCCTAGGCAATATTTCACTGGAAGGTACTAACTCTCGTTCGTGTTATTCTTGAGGTCAACTTCTATGCCTTATCTGTTCTGTTCAAGTAGCTAATCGTTGAAATACAGATTGGGGAATGTCGAGTATGTTGTATGTCGAGATGATGGTGGAAAAATACATGCTTTTCACAATGTTTGTCGCCATCATGCCTCTCTTCTTGCCTCAGGAAGTGGGAAAAGCTCTTGCTTTGTTTGTCCATACCATGTGAGCTTTTTATTACTCAGTTTTAGAGCATTCTTGATCCTTTTAACTGATTTCCGTTTTCCTCGCCTCAGAAAATGTGAGTGAACTAGCAGATATTGGCTGTAAATCTAAACTCGTTTTACTCCACTAGTCATCATGCAATGACATTTACTAGAAGAAGAGACTAGTGGGGTAAAATGAGTTTAGATTTACAGCCAATATCGTTTTGCTTGCACACATTTTGGTTACTGGTATGACCAGCATATATAAGTTCATTTAGTACCATTTAATACAGCAAGTAAAATAAGAGTTTCGACTTTGCTACGTCCTTCATGTGTTAAGCTTGCAAATGAAATACAGTACTACAGTCAAACCTGTTACAAAAGATATGCTAATTATTAGAGTATATGAGTTTGTATGGTTGTCTTGTGATATTATTTAAAATAAAATTTAAGATCTATTATTTTAAAGTCGATGTCGTTAAATGTATGAGCTGAGTGAAGTAGATATCAAGGTTACAACAACAAGATACCAAGTATAATCCCACAAGTGGGGTGTGGAGATGGTGGTGTGTTACGTGTGTATGCAGTCATACCCCTTTATACCTTGTGAAGGTAGAAGGGTTGTTTCCGATACACCCTCGGCTCAAGTAAAGCATATCAATATCAAGTATTGAAAGGAAATACAATAATGAAGAAGCCATGCTAAAATAAAGTAGAAGAGAACAGTAGTAACAACACGTTGAAGACTCAAATTCTCCTTAGTTTCTTGTGTTTCTTCCTCCTTTAGTTTGTGATGAATGGGTATTGTGACCATCAACAAGTCAGACGAGGGACGTAATATTCACTTACTTAACTAGTTAATTCAGAAGTAAACTTTTTGCTTCTTGTCAATCGATTTTTTTTTTCTTGATTTCTTTATGTACTTAGATATTAGGCGTCGTACACGCATCCCAGAGGATATCATTCTCATGTAGCTTATTTGGTTGTTATAGCATGCAATACTATAATTTTAGACATAGAGGAGGAAGTACTATCCGATATACTTCATTTAATGGCTCTTCCGTTCGCAGGGGTGGACATATGGATTGGATGGAGCACTTCTAAAGGCAACTAGAATAACAGGAATCAAGAACTTCAAAGTGAATGTATGTGATAAATATATGTTATATTCTCAGTTCATGGTCGTTATGTATAATGTCGGGGTGATTTGGTCTTCTATATGAAGGATAGGAGATGGGACTAGTCCCAATGAGAGTAGCTGTATGGGGACCATTCATACTTGTCAATTTTGAAAATGGAGTTTTGCCTGAACAAGAATCCGATTTTGACTTGGTTGGAAACGAATGGTTGGGTAGTTCATCCCAAATCTTGGCTGATGGTGGAGTGGATTCTTCATTGAGTTTTTTTATGCAGACGTGAATACACCATTGAGTGTAACTGGAAGGTTAGTTAGTACTCACATTATGATTTCTCCTCCTCTTAGCTATGCATTTTAGTGGTCGAGAAAGTTATTTGACATCTCCGTTCTTACTATCTGATTATGCGCTTGATCCCAGAATCAAGCTTAATTTTCAAACTTGAATCAATTCAAAGTTTCAAATTAGTCTCTTCTCTTGCAGGTTTTCTGTGACAACTACTTGGATGGTGGTTATCATGTGCCATATGCTCATAAAGGTCTTGCTTTGGGTCTGACACTTGACTCGTACTCTACCACTGTATGTCCAACATCAGCTTTATCATTCTATATACTTCTATTGTTGCGTGTAACTCCTAATAATGAATCAGATATTTGAGAAAGTGAGCATCCAACGATGTGAAACTGGTAGTGCAGAAAAGGACCAAGACTTTGATCGACTTGGATCAAAAGCTTTATATGCATTCGTGTATCCCAACTTCATGATCAACAGGTTGGTGCTTCATTAACATATACATAAACGTCATGACCTGCAATTCTTGTAAAACTAAACTCTGGAGCTTTGTGAGGGGGAATGTAGGTACGGTCCTTGGATGGACACGAATCTCGTACTGCCGCAAGGACCTCGGAAATGTCTAGTGATATTTGACTACTTTCTTGATTCATCTGTCAAGGTAAATGTACGTAGTACAATATGTTTTCTTACTCTAAGATAAAAGGTATTACTTGGAGCTAGCAATTTCATCATCATCTTTGTTCACAGGGTGATGAGAGTTTTATCGCAGAGAGTCT